GGTTCCGAGGGCTTCTCTGACCTGAAGTCTGCCAGTTGTTAGGAACCAAAGCAGACACACCGCTTCATAAGAAGATGGCGGCGCTGCAGCATGATGTGTCTCGCAGTGTAGAGCATGGGTGGATTTTCCGTGTTGTAAGCTATACCATAGTACCAGTGGACCAAGCGCGATTGGTTGAAAAGCATCACTACCTGTAGTATCCCAGCAATAGACCACGTGGCGCGGCAAGAATATGACCGGTGGTGGACAAACCGTGTTAACAGAACTTCTTCATGTGTAAATTTCTTGCAGCAAACATTGCAAACGTTAATGAGCAGCCAATATTGCAAGCATTGAATTGGGAAGCATAATTGCTAAGCGTTATCATATTACTACGTAGGTTAAGATACGTACGTACGTGCGTATCGGATGTGGTACTCAGGTGTAATCAAAAGACTGTCGTCGATTGCCACAAGACGTAATTGCTGCCCTTCCATGACGTTCGTATGTGTGCAAGTTATTTAGGATTACAGCACGGTAAATGGTGGGTCCGGAGTCTACAAACCAGGTCATGTCTGCAATGACCTTATGGTCACCAATTATGTCAGGAGTTAGGAGTAATGTGCAAGGGTTCCGACAAACTCGCGATCGCTTCTCCTTAAAAAGATAGCGTAACCAAGTTACGTACATGCTGTCACGATATTCTTACCCTGCATTTATGCATGCTCTTCATTGAGAGACCTGATTTACGGCGATTGCGGTCTTTGCTGGATGAGGCCAAACAGGTTGAGGAGTGACACATATACGAGTCGTTTGATGTTTCATCGGAATTTTGAATAAGACAGCGTACTTTTTTATTATGGGATTACTTTTGCCAGAGATCAAAACCAACGTCAATATCAGGCACGATCACATTGCACGTCGGGAAAATAGAACCAAATTACGTATGCATTTCGCAGAATCTTGTCAGCAGTTCAAGAAAGCATTACTTTCATGCAGTGATGATTTGTGATAAAATAAACTACTGTCACATATGATCTGACGTGGCCATAACATATCACATAGCTAGGAGCTATTTAAATGAACTTTCGAAGCGGCGTAGGTAGCTATTCTTGACTATTGGCTTACACCATCTTTGTAAAGCAAATGTATATTATATATATTATATGTATACATATCTATATATATATCTATAAGCTGACTATTATGGCTTCTGGTCCAACCCTTTACGCATATCCGACGCTGAAAATATGTCTTTGAACCCGAGATATGTGGAAAGTATTCTTCGTTTACCGGATAATCATTCTCTGCATGCATATCTTAACGCCACATATGGCCTGCAACATCGCACGTGATTGATTTATGCCGACATAAATTGCTAAGCCGTAGGCGAAATGTCTATAACAGCACGGAGACCTTCAGATATGAACATTAATATCGCGTTACAATGCCAGCCCTATATTTGGTCTGCAGTTCACGGCATAATCAACAATGATACGATACACCAGATGATGTGTGGTTGCGCAAGTACAACTTGAGATGAGCCTGAAAACAGTTTTTCTGACGTGAAAGCCTAATTTTCACCGCATTTAATCAAGCCGTGACAAGGGCAGCGAAGCAAGCTATTGATCTGCCGCAAAATAGCACGAGGCCAGGGTAACCTGAACCTGTGGCAACAGCTTCATGCGACGTACTAAACCCGTTAGCACCGTGGAATGGTTGTACAACGAGATAAATGCGATAAGGCGAATAGCACAACTGATTCGGCGACTAGAATGGCACTCACAGCGCCGATTGAGTTCATGATGATGTGTGGTGAGTTAGTACAGCACGAGTTAGCACAGCACGGGTTACTACAGCTTCGTCAGGCTAATTCTCTTTAACGTGTTATAGTGCTCTTTTAGTGGTATTGCGAAATTCAAGCTGCTGATATCCATATTGTGGAATTTGCTGGCAAAGAGCAGGTGAACTCATTTTCCTCCCAGCTGGTTTTAGAGAGCAGTGTTCGTCATAATGTATTAATATATGTTCCGACCACGCAGTGACGACATCAGTGTTGTAAAAACACGTTACACGCTACATTATGATGATATCATAAAAATAATTGTAGCTCAGACTTGTACGGACACAGAATACAAGCATTCCTCTATCAACACTCGCCCGGGCAGCCGGTTGACTCCACTTTGCTCCGGCGTGGGTCAGTCTGAACCCCCGCTGAGATCTCAAAAAGCAGGAGAGCTAGAAACGCCAAATTTACATGGCGCATTGTCCTCTACGTAAACTCACTTATTCTAAATGTGAAATTCCGAGGCCATCGCCTTTGGGTTGAATAAAGCCAAACAAAGTAAAACTTCGGATTAGTGTCCAAAGCGCTACCAGACGTCCTCATGCACCAACCTGACACCTAGATACCTGTTCTAAGCAAAAGATGACTGGTGTTAATTTACAGCTAGACATTGTTTGGCTTCTAGAAGGTTATAGTGACCAAAATCGTAGGAGATTGTTTGGATCTTTGCATTTAAATAAACATGAAGAATTACGCAAATAGGTAAGGTCCTAAAAACCAAATGTTAACTTGGATCATTTCAGGTCAGCGACCTATTCTAACTTTAAACAAGTTCATGGAGGACGTCAGCTGTAGTCCCTGTTCTTGCTAAATTCGACATGAGCACCAGATGCTACCTCACACAGTTTGCTTTGGAGTAAAAAGCCAGGTTGGTTTTGACCTCTTTTTGACTCTCGAATCTGACCCCACGTCAGAAGAATTTGTTGCCATCGTAAATTAAATTAGTTAATTGCCTAAGAAACAACCTCCTTAGAAACTGCATTCGTTGACAGCCTTGCTCGAAATTGCCTTCACTCGCACCTCACATATTCTGATGCAGCTGTATATCATGTCTGCAATGTCAGGGCGCAGTCGCAGACTGAAACCTGATTGGTTAAATCACAGGGTGCAACCAGACTGGTGAGCAACAACACTTTCGGCGGTAACGACAGTGGTGCGTGCCAACACTCGGACGTAACTCAAACCGACATTTGGGTGATATTTTGTATAGCCTAAATGACGCTTGCACTCGAGCTTGACAACGTGAGTAGCTAGAAGTGTCAACAACGTTACAAAGTTTGAGTGTTCCGAGAACAACACATATTGCGCCTATTTAAGATGCGTGCTGGCTGCCATCCAGGTATACAGTCTATGAAGATATTTGGGCGTGATTTAACGAATAGGTCATTTATCTGCCCCATACGATGCATTCATTGCTGCTAATTACCTGAGCGACATCGCCTGAAAAGATCAATGACACCTATGCTCCTACATGCCATTACATTCTCACTCAGCATTGGTTAAGCGCTAACTGATGCAGGATCATCAATGAAGCCTGAAGTATATCTGGTGCCTTCTAACAACATCAAAAAAACTCCTTCTCGCAAGTCCTATTTCACGTGCTTTATGACGCGATCTGATCAGCTCGATCGTGACGAGCATGTAGGGGAGCCGCACAGCAGCCGCGCTGGCCACAGTGGCGGCTGAGTGACGCCAGCTGTGAGCCATGGCAACCGGGCGGGGGTCGGAGAGCTCCGGAGCTGGCGAGGCGCGCTGCAGCCGACCGCGGCCGCCTATCGACCCGGCCGCGGCGGCGGCCGGCGGCGCGCCGCCCCCATCTCTGGCGGCGGCGGCCCGCGGGGCGCCGGCGGCTCCGGAGGGCGCCGCAGCGTCCCGGCGGAGTCGTCAGCGCGCCGCCGGAGCCGCCGCCGCCGCCGCCACCGGCACCGGCGCCGGGCGCTGCTCAGCGCACGGCGTATTGATCAGGTGGGGGCGCGGCCGTGCTCCGGATCAGGGCTCCGGCGGGCCGCCTGTTGTCGCACATCACCGGGACAACGGCTGGCTCCGCGTCGTGACCGCCGCTCCATCCTCAGGCGGCACGTGCATGTCCCCAGCCGCCTGGCCTCCGGACGGAGCGCGGCGCGACCGGCGGCGCGGCCGGTCCCGCTCCTGGACGCCCCGGGTTGGCGCCCCTCACATCGCTGGACCGTGACCCACGTCGATGTTAGACGTAGGCAGCCACTGCAGCTTGGTGTTCCTCTCTGTCGCCATTCCCTTTAGAAGATGCCTGTGCTCCGAGACGTCTTGTCCATCCCAGGGTAAACCTGTGGTGCGTAGTCGCTGCATGGTTGTTTGCACCTCGCACACGCACTGGATGTTTCCACGGCGCTGCTGAGAAGGGTTGCTGCGTGCCATTCTTGGAAGTGAAGGATGTTCCTATGCATTCCGTTTGCAGGAGAAAGGTTCTCGGCCGAATTGCTTCGTCGAACCGGGCCCAGTGTTCAACTGCTGGAGACGTTAAGTATATAGGTGTGAGAGCGCCATTACTGGAAAGCTGGTCGATCTCCATGAGTGCGGCGGTTGGCGGAAGTCTCCTCAGGTCCCGCGAAGCCGAGTCCTCTCACACCGAGCTATTCCCTAACGACGTCGTACCACGAACGGAGAGCGGCGTGGAGCACGCCCGTCCTGCCACCTCACGGGGGCAAAGTGGCGAGTTTACTGCCCGCACACAGCGGGCCTGCCGGAGACCCCGCTGCCTCCCCGCCACTGACGCCACGCTCCGTCCTTTCAGTTCGGCCTGGCGGGCGCGGGCGGCGCATTCGGGCCGGGCCAGGCCGGGCCGGGCGGCCAGTTCAGCCCGCGGCTGCCCAGCCCCGTGCCGCCGGCGCAGGGGCCGTTCTCGGGCGGCGCGCCGCGGCCGCCGCTACACGGGCCGCAGCCGTCGGCGTTCGCGCCGGTCACGCCGCAACTGGGCGGCCCGGCGCGCGCCGGGCCGGCCTCGCCGCGGCCCCCGCTGGCCGCCGGCCACGGGCCGGCTGCGGCGCCGCCGGGCTTGCAAGGCTTCCCGGCCGGCACGCAGGCTCTGCCGGCGGCCGGCAGCCGCGGCTATCAGGAGGCCGGGGTCAACCCGCCGATGGCCGGCCAGGCCGGGTATCCGGGCTCGGCGGCCGGCTACCCAGCGGCGCCCGCCGCGCAGGGCTACCCACCATCTGCCAGCCAGGGTTACCCGAACGCCAGCCAAGGGTACCCATCCACCAGTCAGGGCTACCCGGCCACCAGTCAGGGCTACCCAACTGTCGGCCAGGGTTACCCGGCCGCCAGCCAGGGCTACCCTGCTGCGTCAGCCGCCTTCAACCCGCCGACCTCCAGCCTCCCCACTGCCTCTCAGGGGAACGTGCACGCCACACAGGCGTTCCCGGCCACCTCTCAGGGGTACTCGGCCACCTCGCAGGGCTATCCCGCCGCCTCGCAGGGCTACCCCACCGCCTCGCAAGGCTACCCCACTGCCTCTCAAGACCACCAGGCCAGCTCGCAGAGCTACCCTCCAAACCAGCAGGGCCACCCGATGGCCGCCGCGGACGGGTTCGCTGCGGCATCTCAGCCCTTCTCCGGTCCGACTGCCGCGTACCCTGGCGCGGCTCAGGGGTACCCGTACCCCGAGCCGTCTCAGGGCTACCCGGGGCAGACGCCACACGCTGGCTCTGCGTTCGGACCCGGCGCGCCTCTCAACGGACCCACGCACCACCAGCTCGGCAACAGCGGACAGCAGCTCCAGAGGCAGCAGCTGTCGCACGCTCAGCAAAACGAGAATATGCTTAACCGAAATGTTCAGGTGAGGTTTGACGTCCAGCGGAGGGCGTTGGGGACAACAGAGGCGTTCGGGACAGCGGAGGGCGTTCGGGACGTTCGGGACGTTCGAGACAGCAGAGGGCGTTCAGGACATTAGAGGGCGCTCGGGACAGCCATTTGGGACAGCGGAGAGCGTTTGGGACGTTCGAGACAGCAGAGAACGTTCAGGACAGCGGGAGAGCGTTCGGGACAGCCGTTTGAGACAGCGGAGAGCGTCTGGAACGGCGTAAGGCGTTCGAGACAGCGGAGAGTGTTCGGGACAGCGGGGGCGCTCGGATCAGCTGAGAGCGTTTGGGACAGCGGAGGGCTTTTGGGACAGTGTGGGCGTGCGATGGCTTGTTCATTGGCGCTACATTTGGTCTGATCCGCATCAAATCACGGTGGTAAGGCCGCCTCTCAACCGGCATTCAACGGCAGTGGCCTTCGTTGATTGCTTAACGTGCGATCGGGGGTCACGCCATCCGGATCGACAATGATAATCTGTTTACAATTGTTTCGGAATGACCCATGGGCGACTTAAACGCCACTTTCTTGCTGTCATTCTGTCTTGTACTAGTGTCCTTGTTGCGTCGTGCTATTCTGCTAACCGTTTCTTTTCTGTCAAGCGTCAGTAAAAATTAAAACGTTGCTCATGGTTGTTTTGCAATTTTGCAAGTGCCCATACACACATATAGTTGCAGGGGAAATTTCACAACCATGCGGCAAAGTCTCAAAACGTATGGCGGCAGGTGCAATAGGATTTTCATTTTCCATTCTGCTCAGCTTAAGCCAGGTGATTTGCTTAAACATCAACTGTTCCGCTGATGACCTATGCACTTACTTCGATGGATCATTGCTGCATCGCTTGTGTCAAGAAGTATCTGATGTTATCACGTCATTGGGAACTGCAACTTTGTATCGTTCCTATGTCTGTAGAGTTCGTAGTGTCACTTATTCCGCTTTGTCATGAAGTTCACTATAAATGTGCTATTCATAGCTATATGTAACATGCTATACATACGGATACGTAAGATAAGTTTTCGTTGGTTGTTTAGGGCATTAGCGAGGAGCATTATTCACATTGATAAGACAGTAGTATTGGCCTTATTCCTCGGAGAAACCAGGAGAATAGAGATGTAGTTAGGTTGATATTTTGGCAACATGCCTTTGTCGAAACAATAGCAGAAGTCAATCAACAACAATATCTTCTGCTATTGTTTTGATACAGGAATGTCGCCGAAATATCAACCTAACCATATCTCCATTCTTGTTGTTTTTCCGCCGAAAAAGGCTAATACTACTGTCTTAATTTTTTAAAAAAGTTTTCGTTGGTATCAAACTCAGGGCAATAGACGCGCTGCAATGACTTTTTCTCACGGCTTTCGAACCTGGGCCAGCAAGAAAAGACTTAAACCTTGCTAGAAATATAGCTCTACGCATGCTGCTACTTAAGATTGAACCAGAACCATCTTTTGGAAAACACCCCAGCTCAAAATTCCGTTCGCACCACATGAACCATTTCAGAATCTCCATCTACTGCGTCGTACCAAGCACCATTTCATGTTTCACCTCGAACTTTCACACTCCTTTATTTCGTCGTTAAATGACATCTATTGAGGCCCGATATTGCGCGGCGGCGGAGGTGGCCGCCGAATGGCTGGCTAGGGATCGGGTCGGCGCGCGCCGAATCAGCCCAGACTTACGTCGCGGTAATTCGTCCTCCGGTCCGGGAGCCGCGATATTAACCGCCATAAATCGGCAGCCGACGGGACGGTGCTCTCTTGAGATCGGCGGCCGACGGGACCGTGCTCTCTTGAGATCGGCGGCCGACGGGACCGTGTTCTCTTGAGATCGGCGGCCGACGGGACCGTGCTCTCTTGAGATCGGCGGCCGACGGAATCGTGCTCTCTTGAGATCGGCGGCCGACGGAACCGTGCTCTCTTGAAATCGGCGGCCGGCGGGACCGTGCTCTCTTGAGATCGGCGGCCGACGGGACCGTGCTCTCTTGAGATCGGCGGCCGACGGGACCGTGCTCTCTTGAGATCGGCGGCGCTCGGAGCCAGCTCGAGAGCAGATGGTTGCGGTCCGGGAGGTCTCGCACATATCTCTGCGATTGTGGAGTACAGCCCTGGTCTCTGCGACTGCACGCTGCCGCTCTCTGGTTGCGTGCCTCTGGTTGGTGGCATCCTCCAGTCGCACACATGCAGTAGAAGCTACTCTCTGGTTGGCACCGGCCTCCATGTGTACACATGCAGTAGGAGCTGCTCTCTGGTTGGCACCAGCCTCCAGGCGCACACATGCAGTAGGAGCTGCTCTCGGGTTGACGCCAGCCTCCAGGCGCACACATGCAGTAGAAGCTACTCTCTGGTTGACGCCAGCCTCCAGGCGTACACAAGCAGTAGAAGCTACTCTCTGGTTGACGCCAGCCTCCTGGCGCACACATGCAGTTGCAGCCACTCTCTGGTTGGCGCCAGCCTCCAGGCGCACACATGCAGTAGGAGCTGCTCTCGGGTTGGCGTCAGCCTCCAGGTGCATGCATGCAGTAGGAGCTACTCTCTGGTTGGCCCCAGCCTCCAGGTGCATACATGCAGTAGGAGCTGCCCTCTGGTTGGCGCCAGCCTCCAGGTGCATACACGCAGTAGGAGCTGCTCTGGGATTACGAAACTGCAGTCGGAGGGTGGCAAGCATAACGCTGAGCACAAAGCCGACATAAGGGCGTGCGACAGCGACCAGAGTCGACCTACAGGCACGCGACAGCGACCAGAGCCGGCCTATTGAAACATAGCAGCAGTCTGAGTGGAGCGCGACACATGCCAGTGGTCGGAGCTGGTCCCTGGACATTAAGCTGCCATCGGAGCCGGCCTATTGAAACATAGCAGCAGTCGGAGTGGAATGCAACACATGCCTGTGGTCGGAGCTGGTCCCTGGACATTAAGCTGCCATCGGAGCCGGCCTATTGAAACATAGCAACAGTCGGAATGGAGTGCGACACATGCCTGTGGTCGGAGCTGGTCCCTGGATATTAAGCTGCCATCGGATCCGGCCTATTGAAACATAGCAGCAGTCGGAGTGGAGTGCGACACATGCCTGTGGTCGGAGCTGGTCCCTGGACATTAAGCTGCCATCGGAGTCGGCCTATTGAAACATAGCAGCAGTCGGAGTGAAGTGCGACACATGCCTGTGGTCGGAGCTGGTCCCTGGATATTAAGCTGCCATCGGATCCGGCCTATTGAAACATAGCAACAGTCGGAATGGAGTGCGACACATGCCTGTGGTCGGAGCTGGTCCCTGGACATTAAGCTGCCATCGGATCCGGCCTATTGAAACATAGCAGCAGTCGGAGTGGAGTGCGACACATGCCCGTGGTCGGAGCTGGTCCCTGGATATTAAGCTGCCGTCGGATCCGGCCTATTGAAACATAGCAGCAGTCGGAGTGGAGTGCGACACATGCCTGTGGTCGGAGCTGGTCCCTGGACATTAAGCTGCCATCGGAGTCGGCCTCTCGGGACATGGCGGCTGCGGAGACGGTATCTGGGCAATGACTTGTCAGCGCCTTGTGCATGGGATCATAAAACGGTCGGAAGTCCGGTGGCGTGATATTTAATCATGAGCTAGCCTCGGACGCCATGGCTGTCGTAGGAACGGGCTCCTTGACACATGATAGCCTAGTGGTCTACCGACGTCAGGCGAAGACTTGTAGTGCCTATTCAGAGGATGTGCAGATCTCTGTTCACGCCAGGGGCAGACACATTTGCTAAGGTGGCGCAAGCATTGGAATTGATGATGGCGATCGTTATCTGCAATACTGATGCTGACAGTGTGGATTCATAACGGCAGAAATTGGGTTTTAGTATTCCAGGATATTTTGGCAAGCACCAAAAACATCCAGAAGTCATTGTGTTAAAAGGAGCACATGGCGAAAACAATATATGATAATGAATATGTAACAACAAACGGAGCAACATAGCAGTAACAAGCCGTTTCCCATCTCTGCAAACACACGATGCACTAGCGGTGGAGAATTACCCTATTTATTCGTACGTCGTCCACACGCCGCCCTAATGCCGCATGCGCAGCCCAGCACCAAGGGCTGGTCGAGTCGCCGATGGTTACACCGCAAAACATGCTTTGTGAAATATCTTATTGTGATTATATTTATTATCTTATTTATGATGCCATCTAACCCACAATTTGACAGGCATAATTTGGTTCGAGGTAATCAGAGAATCGGTTAGACTGGGTGAAACATTGTGGTCTAGTTCTTTCTGATTATGCTCTGTGGTGTTCACTGAGATAGGCAGGAGCTTCTGCGACATACCTGTTTTTGTTTGTCAGATTTTATATCTGCTTCATTTCATATATCATTGGTCCCTGGTCGCAGCGCTGGGCCTTTATTTAGTGCAAAAATTCGAATCGTCACTCGTTGCAGGCAGGCAAAGGCGTAGCGATGCAGCAACGATCTGCGCTACACACAGCCTTCCTTACAGATCTGTGCGCGACGATTTGTTTTCCTTTTGTTTAAGAAACGTCGAAAACGATTTGTTCATGTCGATTTGATTCAAAACTAACATAAAAACGAGCATGATAAGCACAAAACCTGCCCGCGAGCACCAGCGATCAGGCCATTGGTAAACAAAATGTATGGTGGTGAGAATTTTCTCCGCCATTTTGGAATATGACTGACGCCAGTAGAAATTAACGTCTGTAAGTGACACGGCGAACGGCGTACGCAGTTAAGCGATCTTACTGAGCACACATATTGGGCAAATCAAAGCGAATGAAGAATATGGCTTTCTGAGTGGTGAGATAGGAGTCCGACGGCGTTTCTCCAGTGCAGTAGGTATTTCAAATGACAATGTTGACTAATTCAAAAGATTGAAAAAACTGGTGTATCGACCAGGGGCGTAGTTTCACAAAATGAGCTGGTGAGGGGGGAAATGAACAGTGAAACATTACCTAACCCACCCCAAAGCATGCCAACAAAGGAGTTTCTCCTTAGAAGTGACTCTCTGATCTGAAGCCTCCCATCCCAACTTGATAGGACACTACATCCTTGTTATGACCCAAATCAGTCGTATCTGATCTATGAGTGAAAAGTTCAGAAAACGTGGCATGCTCCCAGCCATGTGCAAAATTAAGGACTGTTGTTCCGTAATGTTCTTCATGAATCTTCCCACCTCGTGATTCCGGTGGCAGCTGTCGACACTATGAACGTGGCAATGTACAAGATTAAAGAGTGTTGTTCCGTGATGTTCTTCATGAATCTTCCCCACTCGTGATCCCAGTGACAGGTGTTGATACTCTGAACGTGGCAATGTACAAGATTAAAGACTGCTGTTCTGTGATGTTCCTCATGAATCTTCCCCCCCCCCCCCTCGTGATCCCAGTGACAGCTGTTGATTCTCTCAACGTAGCAATGTACAATATTAAAGACTGTTGTTCCGTGATGTTCTTCATGAATTTTCCCCCCTCGTGATCCCAGTGACCGCTGTTGACACTCTGAACGTGGCAATGTGCACAAGGCAAGGTTGTAACGCCATGCAGAGCATTTTCATAAAGCTTTGATTCAATAGGTAACGACTGCCAAAATTGTGATCATGTAAAGAACCAACAAGGTCATGCGTAGCCCAGATCAAAACCGCACGCAGCTCTGTACTGGAATTCCTTGCTGAGCATGGGATGACGACAGACAATATGCTGACCAGATGCCTTCTGTGTGTGCGTTTACGCGTGCGTGTGTTGTGTTTAGCGGGACAAGGTTTTCATATTCCACTCAGCCGAACTGCAACCACAATTATCCAGTTAAGATAAATGCAAACACAACAGTGATAATTCACGGAGTAGTAAAGAAAATGATGGACGCCCAGTGTAGCCAACCAGCCAGACCGGAAATAAAGGACTGAAACGTGTTTTGGACAAACTGTGGAAACTAGTTTCTCCAGAGCGATCCAAGTATCTTCCGTGATTAATTCGCCTCTGCATCAAAGCACTGCCGAGCCAGCCAGCCACCAAGGTCAGCAACCAACCCGCCGCCTCACCTTTCCCAGGGCTTTCAAGCGTCGACGGCCGGTCGGCCGCCGCAGCCGCTGGGACCGCAGTTTGCCGCCCAGCAGCCGCAGCAGCTGCAGCTGGGCCCCTACCAGCGGGCCCAGGGCGTGGCCGATGCGGCGCACAGCATGGGGTCACCGTACCCGGCCGGCCAGGCGGCGACCATGGCGGGCCAAGCACTGCCGACCTACCCGCCAGTCACCATGGCGCCGGGCATGCTGACGCAGGCGCCGCAGCACATGATGAACAGCGCCGGCCGGCCGCCGGCCAGCAGCGCCAGTCAGGGCCCGTCCATCAGCGGCATGCTGGCCGACTTCAGCCGCGCGCTCGGTCAGTACTGCTCACTCTGTGGTACCGTGCCCAGTCAGCACAACCCGCTCCGTCCGCCGCACCCGGTCAGTGTCTGCCGTGCTCGGTGAGAACGGCCCGCCCGATTTGCCACACGCGGTCCGTGCAGCCCGTTCCGTCCGTTGCACGCGGTCAGTACAGCCCGCCCTGTCTGCCTTACGCGGTCGGTGAGGCCCGCTCCGTCTGACGCATTCGGTCAGTAAAGCCCGCTCTGTCTGTCGTACGCGGTCATTACAGCCTGTTCTGTCTGTCGTACGCGGTCAGTGAGGCCCGCTCTGTCCGTCGTACGCGGTCAGTGAGGCCCGCTCTGTCCGCCGCATCCGCCCAGTACAGGTCGCCATGTTTGCCACGCTCGGTCAGTACAAACGGCTTAATGTTCCGAACTCTAGCGTGGGTTCTGTAAGAGCTAATATGGGCTTCTGTCCCCGTAATGGACACCAAATGACCGCTGGTGTTTGCACGCTCTACGACCGAATAACCGCTATTCCGCTACTGAAAATGTTTCTAGGTGTCTATCGGTGTCGGATACTCTGTGTTTAGTGCCTCAAGTATCTAAGCCATGCAGCAACACATTCAAAAAAGTTTATTTGAATAACTACGCGTGTTTCAAGGAACCTTCAAACATAACAAATAATTCACTTGCCTGGAAAATAAGGGCCCAAGCTTGAGAATAGACCTGTTCACGGTGACGTCTCAGTTAAAACGGTTCAAAAAAAGGGAGAAGGGGGCGGGGCACAGAGGGCAGAAGCAGCATGCGCGAGCTGAATATTTGACTGCCTGAGTGATCCCTGCCCAATCCTCTCATCTCCGGATCACAGACCAAAGGGCGGGCACTTGTGTGAGGTGAATTCATACTTAAGTGCTGTCTTTGACGGCATTTCGGTTCACAGTAATGGCCTGCTCATATCCGCGGCACAAACCTATCACAATAAGTTACAATACCCACGAAATAGCGCTTTGCAACGATGACAGTACAGGAAGTCTTCTTGGATTTTATGCGAATTAAGCATGATAGACCCAAGGCATTTTGTGCCAAGCACTTCGCGTTAATGGACATTTCTGGCAGTGCATTTACGGAAATGCTAAAGCGCTCTTAAGGACGCCGTGCCCCGAAACACTCAGGACGGGGTTGAAAAACCTTGAAATGAATAAAATGCTATTACATTCTGCAAAGCCGACGTGGGGACGACGGCGACAACGTGACTTCAAAGGGTTCTTTTGAAAACGTTCAGGGTAAGTGGGCATTATGTGTGGAAAATCCTTGCAGTCAAATTACTTGCGCGTAATATACGATAGCAAACACCCGTGGTGACCGTAAGGAAAAACCGTGTCTGTCTTGGAATCGCTATAGTTTATATTGGACGACAGGACGCATTTTACTCGGAAAGAAACGTCTGGGATTGTCTGGGAATGTTGTGTCCCGTAATGATGGGGTGCTGCCGTTATGAATGTCTTGGAACGCCGTGCCCTGTAATGATGGGGCGGTGCTGTTAAGTGATGTCTGGGAGCGTTGTGTCCTGTGATGACGGGGTGGTGCTGCATCAAGTCAATTTCGGTCACGGCCACGGAGCAAGTTCTCTGGAAGGATCCCGATATGACTTTCCAGCTCACCAGGGGACGTATTCAAACCGGTGTTTACGTAAGGCACCGATAATGCCAACATAGTAAACACACCTGGAAAGGAGCCTGCAGGCGGTATTATCATGTATTGATTATAAATCCCCACTAGAGACGTTATGGTTTGGCCAGGCCTGAATGCATGCTGTTATACCACTCCCTTACTCGTATCTGCTAGATGAGCCACAAATACCACACACAAAGAAGAATGAAAGCCCATAACGGCCCCCAGCTGCGGACCATAGAGGATCCGTGAGGTGCCATGAAGGAAAAGCATGCAGGGAAGGTTGGAGGGCATTGGATGATCAACGACAAATTGTCAGCCTTTACGCCTGGCGAACATATGAGGGCACTGACACCTGCGTTCACCGCCAAGGTGAAAGACGCCTTTGAACTTTGAATGAACTTGTTCATTTTCCTTAAGAAAGTGGACAAAGACGTTATGCTATTTCTACAAAAATGCAGTACCCTACTCACCCTTACCTAACAATTACTCCTGTACATTTGCGGCCTGCCGACCGACGCAGGCGGCGCTGTGTAATCTGTCGGGGCCCCGCCCTCCTCCATCTGGTCGGCTGTCGTCCCGCCCGAGCTGAGGCCGGTCGGCGGCCCGGCCCGGTCTGCCCGGCCGGCCCCGTCGCCGTCTCTACGCGCCGTCGGCGTCGGTCGATGCTGGGGCCGTCAGTGGGCCGCGGTCCAATCGCCGCCCGCTTCGGGTCAGCAGCTGGCCGGGCCTGCGGGCCGTGGCCGCCGCCGGTCCTGCCGAGGCTCGCCACTCACGAGTTATTGCTGAACTTAGTCGGAGGGCACAGGGCACGACCGCGAAACACGCGTGGCGTAACACAGCGACATTGCTGGGGTTCGTATGGAGAGGTCTGAGGAGTGGACGCGTGCTGATGATGCTTGGTGGGTCAGAAATCGACACTTGCCACCGTGCGACCCCCCCCCCCCCCCCCCCGCCTCCCTTACCGGCGTTCGTCGAGTGTCTCTGACGCCATTTAGCGCTGGGAGGCAGGGCCCTGCATCCGATGCATCTTCGATCGCCAGCAGACGCTGCTGGTGTCATGTCCGCCGCCACCTCCTGCTGGTAACGACACTCATCAATTAGCACCCGGCTGTGGCAAGGCCCTCCCGTCACCCATCATTCCGCACACCACTGACTTATGTCGGGATGCATGTCAACCACCCCGTCCTTCTGCCAGGGCTGCAGACAAACCCGTCGGGTGGAAAGCGTTGTTGGGCAGAGTTGTCAGTTTTGCTGTCAGACAGCTGCCTTTAAATACGAGTTCATCCAACTCCATTCTCTCTCTCTCTCTCTCTCTCTCTCTCTCTCTCTCTCTCTCTCTCTCTCTCTCTCTCTCTCTCTCTCTCTCTCTCTCTCTCTCTCTCTCCTCTCTCTCTCTCTCTCTCTCTCTCTCTTCTCTCTCTCTCTCTCTCTCTCTCTCTCTCTCTCTCTCTCTCTCTCTCTCTCTCCTCTCTCTCTCTCTCTCTACTCTCTCTCCTATCTCTCTCTCTCTCTCTCTCCTCTCTCTCTCTCTCTCTCTCTCTCTCATCTCTCTCTCTCTCTCTCTCTCTCTCCTCTCTCTCTCCTCTCTCTCTCTCTCTCTCTCGTTCTCCCTCTCTTCCTCTCCCGCCCCTCTCCTCTCTCTCTCTTTGGCTTGGAAATGGGGCTCACCTCTCGCCAACCCGACTGCAACTGGCTATCGATGCGGACGGTCCTATTATGCCAGTGGGCGCCTCCGTCCGCTGTCGCTGGGTGGGACGGTGTCGGGTCCGGCCGACGTGGGCCGGCGGACGGCGTTGGATCGGGCAAGACAGGCCAGGACAGGGGGCTGGGCGGACGGCGCTGGATCGGGCAGGACAGGCTGGGGCAGGTAGCGGACGAACGGCGTTGGATCGGACAAGACAGGCTGGGCAGGGGGCTGGCGGACGGCGCTGGATCGGGCAGGACAGGCTGGGGCAGGTAGCGGACGAACGGCGTTGGATCGGACAAGACAGGCTGGGCAGGGGGCTGGCGGACGGCGCTGGATCGGGCAGAACAGGCGGGGCAGGAGGTTGGCGGACGGCGCTGGATCGGGCAGAACGGGCCGGGGCAGGAGGCGGGCAGACGGCGCTGGATCGGACGGCGCTGTTTGTCAGCGGCGGGTGCCGCCGGTCTTTGGCACGGCTGGCCGTGACGGGGAGGGAGGTCCAAAAGAACCTTCCGACTGCTGTTTACTTCTCGAAAGTTTGCGAACCGCCCCCAGAGTCTATTGGTCTTTTGCTTCCAGAGTTTGCCTTCCTTTCGGTTATAATAACTTGGGTCGGACAGAATACGAAGCTCTCGTTAACTTAATACGGGATTTGGGGGCAATGGTCCCGCGGTTTTTTAAAACTAGAGGTGCTCAAGTTGTCTCCTGTGTTGTTTTTTATTTTCCTTTATATCTCATACCCAGGAACTTCAACCCATTCTTTATTAGATCTTGGATCGAAGTCTGGCCTTGGCTTTGTACTACATAGATAATGCCAAATAGCATGACTATGAAATGACCATATAACATGACTACCTCTGCTATGCGACATGATAAGCAAAAGTATATCTAAACAGTGGTGACAATACATAACCTGTACGATAAAAAATTCAACTTTCGAAGTTTTGAAAACGATCCGCAACGGGTTCTCATCCATGCAGTACAAATAATCTCATTTATTCAACATCTCATGGAAATTATTCAAAATTACCTATCGGTGAGGCTGATTAACCACGCATAACTTCCGTTCCTGCTTCTGCTGTCAGGTCACAGCGGTCCCCTTTTGACTTCTGCTCATGAACTTAACCCTCCGGTGTTTAGCCATGGGGACACCGCTAGCATTTCACTGTGTCACACTTCATCGACTTGAGCCGTGACCTCCCACGCACGTGGTCACAATATTCACGACGCGGCGCCTCACCTCGTCCCTGCCCCCCGCCTTTCCATCAGTTTCCACGCCGTCTGGTCGAGCCGCTGTTCGTCTTCCCCTGACGTCCCCCCCCCCCCTTCCTCCTCGGCAGGTCTGGGCGGCCAGGGCGGGCGGCCCGAGGATAAGACGGCGCGAGCGGCGGCCGCGCCGCAGCCGGCCGGCTACCCGCGCCCGGCGCCGGGCTACCCGCGACCGGCGGCGCCACACGGAGCGCCGCCGCCGGCTGACCCTGCTCTCATGGACCCGGCCTACGGCCACCCGACCGGCCTGACGCCCGAGCAGATCATGTACCCACCAGCAGATGGCCGCCCACCATCAGGCGCAGCACCTCCGCAAGCAGCGGCTGCTGCAGCAAGGGCCAGCAGCCGGCGGCGCGTCAGTACCAGGCGGTGCCCACCGCTTCACTGCTGCCGGGCTCTACCGTCACAGGTGGGCGCAGGCGGCAGCGCAGCCGGCTGGGTCAGCCTGAGAGGGGGGGGGGGAGGCGGCCGGCTGGGTCAGCCGAGGATGTGTCGGGGCTGGGTTGGTCAGGGATGGGTCGGGGGAGGATTGGGAGCAGCTGGGGTCGTGCGTGCTGGAGGACATGGGCACTGCTGGGTTAGGAAGAGGGAGCTCTTGTCAGACGGGTGG